TATGGGGCCCCCAAGGCGATCCGACATGCGCTCCCAACTCGAACGCGTTGCCTATGCAACGCGCATTAAAATATAACAAACTGCACATTCCCGCCCCAGTTCTACCTCCAGTCTGGCTCCTAGTTGCGTGCTGGCGCCAAACGTGAGAACCTCCGGCCCGCGACCTCGAGCGGGCGCCTGGGCAACCCAGACGGTCGCCGAAAGCCAGCCGGGCGGAATGAGCTGTCCCGGGGAACTGGCTTCAAACAGTCCGTTGGCAGCTCTCGGAATGAAGGGCAACTCTGGGGGGAGAACCCTGACCTTCCAGAGTGCTAAAAAATAGCACTCCAGACCTATAGATCTATCTGGACTGCCTCACACCTCGACAAGAATTAGGACGTCGACGTCCTGGTGCTATTTTTTAGCCCTCCTGGAAAGTCAGGGAAGCCTCTGGGGGGGAGGGGCCTTGGGGGGCAGCCCCTGGGGGCGCCCGCGGGAGCGACGAGGAGACACTATAGGGGCCCGTGGGACGGAGCTTTCCCGGGGGAGACTCGCGCACGCGCTCACCACGGGGGGAATTGCAGGCGGAATTGCAAGGCAAACTCCACTTCGCTGACTTGGGCTCGCGCTCGAGCGCTGGCGACGATTCCGGTTGCAATTCCGGGTGCAATTCAAAGTGCCATTCCGGTTGCAATTCTGGCTGCGATTCCGGCCAGGTCCCCGAGGGTGCAAGTTGCGAGGAGCCCCCAAGCATCTCCAGCCTGGTTCAGCACCGCTGGGGGCCGGGGCCCACAGGAGGTGCTGGGGGGAGAGGGGGGCACGCGTAAGCATGGTCTTGAAGCTCCCGGGCGACTCGTGGGCCTGCCAATGGCCTCACCGTCCTGGAAAAACCGGAGGGCCTGGCCGCCGGGGACCTCACTCGGAATCGGCGGGCTGCTGAGGCACTGGCGTGCACAGGAGGACGAATCCGCAGCGGGAGGCCTCCTCTCCCGCCCTGCCCCCCGCCCGATGCTGCTTTCCCTACTCTGGTTCCCAATCCCCTCCTGCCCTCTTCCTACACGAACCGAATCCCACCTGTCAAATAGGCGTAGGCAGTTTCAGGGGGTTGTCCCATAGCAGCATCGAGCGCGATGTAACCAAGAGAAAGATCATATGGGAACTCATCTGAACATGGCGAATGATCAGATAGGCTGGAAAGAACAGAAGAGGAACAATTCTGGGACGCTCGCATCACCTCTGACGTCATCCCCTCCTCTTCTACCGTGCGAACGAGGCAACCGCAAAGTGCCGGCAAGAGTGGGCATCGTGTTCCGACGGCTCGCGGGCTCCTGACCCGCACCTGCATGTCGATCGCCAGACATGCTCAAAGAACATATCCTCCACCTTTCCCAGCTGGAACTCGCAAACATGAAGAAGCCAGGGGGCCACATGCGAACCCTGCCCCTGCCACACACGATTTCTGGGGGGGAGGGTGGGGTTCACGTCGTTCGGGAGCTCCCGAGCGAAGGGAACCCCACTCTCCCCCTCAGAAATCGTGGGGGGTAGGGGTAGGGTTCGCATGTGGGCTCCTGACCCGCGCCTGCATGTCGATCGCCAGACATGTTCAAAGAACATGTCCTCCACCCTTCCCAGCTGGAGCTCGCAAACACGAAGAAGCGGAAATGGACACGTACTGTGACCAGCCGGCGGCCGACCCGCGAGGGGTGGCGCCCTGGGGCCGTAGCCCCCAGTGGTCTTCGCGGGCCACGGGCTCGTTCTCCGGGTCGTGCCCACTACAGTGGAGGGCAGTCCACAAGAGACCTCCCACAAGAAACCCAACCCTGAGACCCCAGGGCGTCCATTGATTTTTGGCGTGGGAAAGCCGCGCTTTCCATCGCAAAACCCTCGAAACCCAAGAAACCAGGGGCACCCTGGAGGCGAGCGGCGTGTTTCTTGGCATGGGTCTCCACTGTACCTGGAAATGCGCAAACCCTTTCGTTGCAAGAGAACTTCGAAGATCGTCTGTTAATCGACGCCAAGGTCGCCCTTCAAACCTCGAGCAACTATACGTCTACTGCGGCTCCAATTACGCCGCAATTCTCGACCACTTATCAACGTCGAGCTGCTGTGTTCTGTGCGTCCATGGCCATTTCATTCTTTTTTCGGCGGCGAACCCGGGGGGAGGTGAGAAGGGGCGGGCCTTCTCAGAAGGCTCGGAAGCCCCCCAGCCTTCTTCCGAGAAGTTTTCTGAGCCGCCCCCGATCTACACAGAAAACCTCTCAGACGGCGCGAGGCTTTCTGAGAAGTCCCGCCGCCTTCTGACAAGGCCTTCTCCTTCTCATTCCCCCCTCGCTCGCCGCTGATTTTTGAAGCGATCGTCCAAATATCGAAATCCATTTCTTTCAGTTTTGATGATGCCTCTCTTGTCGCTTGCTTCGTGCAGTCCACCCAAGGTTCAAGCTCACCATCCGAACTTCCACAGGTTTGGGATCGCCGCCTCGTGTGCCCCGAGAATCATACGCAACGCAGCATACGTCGCTGGTGTCTTTGGAACTTGTGCTCCATTGATGCCGTCATCGTCCACACAACCGCTCCGTACACCACAATGGATTTGACGACTGTTTCGATTCTCGGTTGCAGATCGAGCCGTGTTGTGGTGCCTCGGTTCCAGAAGCGGCCAGGTTGCCGCACCTCCTATCAAGAATCGGCCAACTTGTCGCACCTCGGTGCCAGGACTGGCCCCGGTTGCCGAGCGGCGGTTCCAGGACAAGTCCAGTTATCGTACCTCGGTTCCCAAACTGGCTGGGTTGTCGTACCTCGGTTCCACAACCGGCCCAATTGTCGTATGTCGGTTCCCAAGCTGGCCCAATAGCCGTACCTCGGTTCCCAAACCGGCCGAGGTGTCATATCTCCATGGAACCAGTCCGTGGTCAAATCATGAAAGCTTGTGTCTCGGATCCAGAACTGGCCGATGAACAAATCGAAGTTCGGGTAGATTGAATTTTGGGCGGTGTCTGGTCTGCTTCTGGGTGGCCTGGTTTACTTCGATGGGTTGTCTGATGCACCTTCGGGTGAACTGGTCTACTTTTAAGCGTAGCGCGGTTTACGGGTGGGTGGTCTGGTTTGCTTTTGGGCGGCGCTGGCTTCGCAATCGGGCGGTCTTGCTTACTTTTGGTCCAGGTCAGGTATGCTGTTTGGGTTGTCCGGCTTCCTTTTGGGGGGTGCCTGGTCTAATTTTGGGTCCATTGGCTCGCTTCGTTGGCGAATGGCCTGCGGCTGGAGGGCGCGTTGGGGAGATTCCAGTCCTGGCAAGAGACTGGCCTAACCATGAAAATTGAGCCGCGCGAAAACATTTCCACGCTGCCGCGCGCGTCAGGGGTGTCATCGCCAAAACTGCTCCGCACTGGACTCGCGCCAGGGGCTGCTGAGGCTGCCACTGCGTCAGGACCAGGCCGACCCAGTATCGCGCTAGAGGCCGCGCAGGCTGCATCTGTGAGCCAGTGATCTATCACTCCGCCGACGCGTACGCGCTCTCGGCATCCCCCTGCGCCTTCTCCTTGGGTGGCTCGAGCGAGCGCCGCGCCTCCATCATGTCCCCCCGCGAGAGACTTCTCCACCTTCTCGACGAAGGTTGCGTCGCCGCCGACCGCCTCCGTGAACTTCTCCTCCTCCCCTGCCACGCGCACCGCCCATCGGCCCATGGACGGATCGAAACATTCACGATTCACCTCGTCGACCGCCGCGCCTTCGAGCTCCATCGCGACAGAGGCTGCGACTGCCAACGCGCCAGATCCTGGCGTGAAGTCTGCGATGTGGCCGCAGATTCAGAGGCTTCCCTTCGCAGTGCGAGAGCAGGTCGCCCTTTGGCGTCGACGTCTCTCTGCGCGCGCCTGCCCTTCGCCGGGCCAGAGGCTGCTGCGCCCCAGGCGGATATGCGCTCGTTTCCAAAGACCGCCCGCGGCAGTCCGCAAGAGTGCCACCAAAGGCACGCCCGTGTGCGTCGTGGCAGGTTGAGGAGGGGAGGCAAGAGAGAGAGAGAGAGAGAGAACAATCTATATATATATATATATATATAACGAGAGAGAGGGAACAAGAGAGAGAAAGAGAGAGAGAGTGATAGAGAGCGTGTCCATGAGGGAGAGAAAGAGGGCGGCACGCCCATCTCCCATGCGGTTTCCGCCGTCTCCTTCCATCCCCTCCGCCTGGTCCTCTTCCTCCTCCTCCTGTTCCTCCTCCTCCTCCTCCTCGACCCAGCCCCTCGCTTCCAGACGGAGAACTTTTGCGTCCTGCCCCTTGATCCTGGGGCCCCATGCCCAAATCCGCAGTTCATCGCCCCAGGGGTCGGTCGAGTAGTATTACCAGCGGTTGCGCACGCCTGAGAGCGCCAACGGGCTGAACCCCTTGACAACACGAACAAAATATCGCCCGCAGCTGGCTGAGCGAACCTGGCGGCAACGTTTTGCCGAAACCAAATGGGTATCATCCTCAGTCTATGAGTCAATGGGGCTGGGCGGACTTGCCCTAGCTAGTTGTCTTGATAGACTGGCGACTAGCAGAATCACGATTTACCACATTCAACAAACCTCAGTACAACAGGCAAATCGTGGGGGACCCGCTAACTCAACAATCACCGCGGTCATCCAGAAAATGTCCATATCCACCGCCTGCCGGCCGGAGTGCCCCTGAGATCCGACGGCGACCAAAAAACAGATTCGCGAAACACTGCGACAGCACCATCCTTCTATTGCACATGTTGAACTGGATCGATCTGTGATGGTCCCGGGGCCCGAGGGTGAACACGCCGGGGGCGATGAAATTGCGACGCCAGGATGTCGGGGTCCGTCGTACTTTTGTTCACGACTCGGGGGGGTCTCTTGGATGGCCGCGGTGGTTGCTAAGGGGACAAGGGGAGCTCTGAGTGGATGTGACGGTAGATTATAACTGGCCTGGCACAGCTTGCAAGGGGGTTCCGCATGCCCGCACAGATCTGAGGATCGACCCCCCAGGCGGTGGTCATGGCTAAAAACCAGCCGCCTCGGATCCTTCGCCACCTGCAGCATCACGCACCCTGAGACGCCGGTGGCCAACCAGAACGCTGGCGGTAGCCGCCGCGCGTTTCGCACAAGCGTTGCCGCCGCCTGCAGCCGCGGCACGAGCCTGGAAACGCCGCCGCGGGCCTGGGCGGGATCCGGGTGCACGGGCAGGTCCATCAGGATGGCTCGAAGAAGAAAGAACGGTATAGCATAGGTAAGCTCGCGAGGGTCCGTGCGGATTTCTGGGATCGGCGCTGCGCCCCCGTCGCTTGCGCGCGGAGCGCGCCAGGGGCGCTATGGGGCTGCGCCACCTGGATGACCGCGAGGGGTGCTAAGGGGATGGGGGGATCTAAGAGGATGTAACTGTAAGTTACATCTGGCCTAACCTACGGGAAAGGGAAAGAATTCGTGGACCCTCCCTGCCCCCCCAAAATCAAAGTTGGCACGCGCGGGGAAGACTGCGGTCGAAGTGCAGCTCCTTCCACCCACCGCCAACATTGATCATTTGGGGGGGGGCATTGATTGTTCATTGGGTGGGGCATTGGCAGAACGCGGCATGGGTGTTCGCTAATTTCTTTCTAGTTTATGAATGGGCTGCGAGGGCCCTAAGCGGCCCACGGGGGGCAGAAATCTGGGGTAAGCGGGCGGAGCCCACGTACGAAAGCTACCAAACCCTTGAACGAATTTCGGGGACTTCTTATCAGCGAGGTTAGGGCAACTATAAGCCACCTTCACATCCACTTCTGATCCGCTCTCCCTTTAGTAACAACCGCGGTCATCCAAGCAGCGGGGCTCCACGCAGTCCAAGATATAGGCGCGGAGCTCCGAGCAGTTCGGTTCAATCTGTCTTTTCTTCTTCGAATGGCGCCCTTGTAGTGGCACGCGCACCAACAGCCGGGGAACAAGCAGATGGCGAAGACGAAGCGCGAGAGCAGCGTCCGGCCGTGCAGCACCTCGCGGAGGGCGGCGTCACCCACTGTGTTCAGCGCCCAGAACAGCCTGAGCGTCACCTGGGCGACGACAGGAAACGTGTCGTACGCGAGAAGACATAGCGGGCGACCTTACGCGGTGGCCTACGCGGGCCGCCAGCGCGGCACGCCACAACGGAAACGAGGGCCCACGCGCGACCTTGCGCGGGCAACTTGCGCGCCAATGTCCGTGCCGACGACCCTTTGTCTTCTGTCGCTCACACTGGCAAGAAGGAGCCGGGCCCAGAGGGGAACGGATCCCAAACCGAGTTTTTGATCCGCTCCAGCTAGGATTATGTCGGGCATGTCCTCCGACAGGCGATGTTTGACATTAAAAATCAAGGCATCTTTCTTCCGTTGATTGCAAAAATACGTTTAAACATACTTGGGGGCTGCTCTTCAAATGCGTCGGAAAAACCGCGGTCCCTGCTGGAGTATTGCTTTGTTTTCGCGATTTCCCCTTGCGTGTTTCGGAACGCGCAAAATACACAGCGCCCTGCGCGCCAGACAAAGGGAGCGCCTTTTCGACGCCGCGTAAAAAGGATGGCCACATGTATGTTGCTGCAAGAGAAATTCGATGCATATTCAATGGCTTCGCGTTCGCCCGAGATCGAACCGACCGTGCTGCGCACTCAACTGGCTCCACGCGGTTCGTTGCCACTGGGCTCACCTCGGGGACAAACGACAGACGCAGCGTGCGCCCTGAGGGCGCGCGAAGGGAGCAACCAGAAAACAACCAATCCAAACGTGTAGATGATCCAAAGGCAACTGCCGATCGCAACGCGTGCAGATGGCAAACGAGAGGCGCCGCAAAATAAGAATAAGGGTCCGCGGGTTCTGGCGGAACGCCGCAAACTCGTCCTCTTATCGATCGGTCGATCGATCGATCTTCCGATGAAGCGATCAACCGGTCCCCCTCCGCCGCGTCCTCCTACCCCCCGTCCCTCTTTGCAAATGCTTGTCAATAAAAACGAGGGCGGGTGCGCGGGGAAACTGGATCCAAAAATTGATGCCAAAATCTTGGCCTTTTTTTCCGTCTGGAAGCAGCGTAGCGCGCGTAGGACGCGTCACATGTTTGATGCGCGCGCGCGTTGAGAGCCAGCCCCCCGGCGGAATCGGGCACGCAGAATGAGGCCGCGAAGCTTCTGTGGCGCGGAACGACATTCGTTCGGCAACGTAGCGGCACGCTGTTCAGCTCAAAAGCGCACCGCATCAGCAGTGCGCGTCGCGCGTTTGGCAATCCTGACGCACGGCATCTGCAATTCTAGCGAGCCCACTGCATCATATGCCGCAGCGGCGCGATTTCGCGCGAAAGGGGGGGAGGGGAAGGGGCACTGCCACGAGACGTTCGCATTCTCGAGGAAAGGCCACGGGGCCCACCTCAAGGTAGTGCTTTCCGGAAAACACGCGGGGGCATCTTCTGGAAGACTTGGAACAGTCAAAGACCGTAACGCGCTGCGTCCTGGGTTATTTGGGCGTCTCGCAAAAATGGTTGGCGAGCGTCTCCTGCGGCATTTTGGGATTTTAGAGGACGCCGCGGTGGCATATCTGGAATACTTTGAAATCTCGCAATTTGCAGGGGGGCATCTTTGGAGAATTCTCAAAATCCGCGATTTGCACTGGAGTATATATATATATATATATATATATATATGGAATCTTTCAAACATTCGCAAATAACACTGGGCTGCTCTTGGAGTGCTGTGACATTTCGCAGATGGCGCTGGGGCATCTCTGGGGTATCTTGAAACGTCGCAGATGGCACCGGAGCATCTTCGGAGTATTTTTGAATTTCGCAAATGGCGCTGGAATGTATTTGGGGTAATTTTGGGTACGTCTGGGGTATTTTTGGTGCATTTCTTGAGCGCGTGAAATATGCGGGGGTATTTTTGGAACGTGCTATGAATATGGGAAATATGCAGAGAATATTTTGTGAACGTTTGAAATATGCGGCATGTATTGTCGGAGTGCGTTGCGCGCGCGCTGCGCTTGAAATCCTCCAGTGGGGTATTTTTCGCGGTCGGCAAGCGCGCGACATCCTGCGCTGGAGTATTTTGTTGACTCACGGGGCATGTCGGGCACTCGCCCTGGGTATCCGAAGTGCCACTGCTGCCCCGGCGACGATGCCTGTCTGTGCTCTGGATGCCCCGACGGCGCTGGCGACGATTGGGGCGCGCCGCAGGCTCCCGGTCCTGCTTGACTACGCACGCACTAGGCCCGCAGATCTGTGCACGTGGGTGTATGTATATAGACGCGCACACCTGTGCAAATAGGCACATTGCTCTGCCGTGGTTGAATGCGCCCTATACTCGGCTTCGCGCGATCCGCGCGGCCACCTTACCGATCCAGCGGATAAAAATCAAGTTTGCTGTGCTCGTTAACCGATATGCAAATGTGCACAAATAGCATTAATCGTACTTCGCCCCATCATACGCCTAGTTGTACCCTTATCTGCTCTACCCTGCTACGGCACATGTGAGCCTCCTCTTTTACATTCGAGCTGGTGGTTCTCTATATGACATTTCCACGCTGGTTCCAATTCTGCCCTACTCGGAACCGGCTCTAATCATATCCTGTGCCCATCTGCAGTCAACCTGACTCACGAACAACCCCCAGTCCACTCTTACCGTGCTCCATCTCAACTCCTACTCCACTCGTATCTATTCGATGATGGCATCAGCGGGGATACGCCTTGTCCGGTCAGGATCGCCCTTCGCGCAGTATACCCCGCGCGAATGCCGAGAGAAGCCCAGTGGCCGAACGTGAGAAGAGCTGGTGTGTGTGCGCGCCACCCTGATTGAGCGGGAATCGGGTGGGGAGGATGCACAAGGATGGCGCGCAGGAGCGAGGGGGTAAAGAGGGGGAGGGCTGGGGTTTTGCAGCGAGAACTTGAGTGCCAGCGGCCACAAAGATTGATCAGGCGGATTTTGTGGACGCGCGTAACAAGATGGAAGAACAGGGATCCAAATCTGCAGGGCCACTGTCGGCTGCCCAAAAGGTACTCGTCGAATTGTTCACGCCACGCGCAAATGTAATCGCAGCGACGAGCCACCCAGTCCACGATGGTAGCGCGCGGTCGACCCTCATTGTGCACGTTGCGCAAACCACATCGCCATAGACGCGCGCCATTGCTAAACCGCGATAGCGCGGGCTGCCGCCACCAAGCGCAGCGAAACAAGTAATGGTGGCGCCGCGCGGCGCATCGTGTTTTCCCAGCCGGGTGCATCGCACGTTCGCCTAGCCAATATCTAGAAAACTATGTCCATACTATGTCTGGAATATTGTGAACATAGCATAACGAATTGCCAGAACATTATGTTTCCGTTATTTGTCTCAATGCTCATCCTGAATATTCATCCTGTAGTGGGACATGCTCGATTTCAAACTCGGACCAAATCTGAATCTTCTTGTTGGCGGTCGTGGGGCCCATGGAGGGCCCTGGGCCTTGTTGTTTGAGCCTTTCCAGGATCACCTCTTCATCCTGACTGCTTTTCCCAACCATCCTGTGGTGTTGGGTCCTCGTTTTGAAGAGACAGCACCCCGTGTCTCCCTCACTCCTTCCTTCCTCCTCCCCTTCCTCTGTCCTTCCCTGCCTCTGCCCTCCGCGTTTCTTCGTCGTCATCATAATCATCATCACCATCATTCCCAACCATCTTGTGGTGTCGGGTCCGCGTTTTGAAGAAACAGCGCCTCGCGTCTCCTCCTCTCCTCTCCTCTCCTCTCCTCTCCTCTCCTCTCCTCTCCTCTCCTCTCCTCTCCTCTCCTCTCCTCTCCTCTCCTCTCCTCTCCTCCTTCCTCCTTCCCCCTCCTTCCTCTTTCTATCCGTGCCACTGCCCCCCGGCACCCGCTACGGGGTTTCGTGGCCCCATAGGGAGCTTCATGAGGCATCGACCCGTTTCAGGTTCCAGAATCACCCTGGAACGGTTCCGGGTTGAAAATTGGAACCTGAAACGGGTGATTTTCCATCTGGGCGCTTTCGGGAGCCTTGCGGGCGCATCTCGGGGATGGGGGGAAGTGCACCCGAGCTCCCAAAATTGCCATTTTCCAAATGGAATCTCTTTTTGGGGGGGCTTGTTTTTCGCGGCTGGGCCCTCCCGCGCAGCGTCGGGAGGTCCCAGATGGATTTTCACTCCGGAACCGTTCCAGGGTGAAAATCCATCTGGGACCCTCTCCCGACGCAAAGCGGCTCTGTCGGGGATGGGGACGGGGGTGTACCCGCGCTCCCAAAATGGCAATTTTCAAAATGAAATCTCTTATTGGGGGGCTTGTTTTTCGCGGCTGGGCTCTGCCGCGCAGCGTCGGGAGGTTCCAGATGGATTTTCACCCCGGAACCGTTCCAGGGTGAAAATCCATCTGAGACCCTCTCCCGACGCAGAACGGCTCTGTCGGGGGGGTACCCGAGCTCCCAAAATTTGCATTTTCCAAATGAAATCTCTTATTGGGGAGCTTGTTTTTCGCGGCTGCGATCTGCCGCGCAGCGTCTGCAGGTCCCAAATGGATTTTCACCCCGGAACCGCTCCAGGGTGAAAATCCATCTGGACCCTCTCCCGACGCAAAACGGCTCTGTCGGGGATGGGGGGGTGGTACCCGAGCTCCCCAAATTATAATTTTCCAAATGAAATCTCTCATTGGGGGGCTTGTTTTTCGCGGCTGGGCCCTATCGCGCAGCGTCGGGAGGTCCCAGATGGATTTTCACTTCAGAACCGTTCCAGGGTGAAAATCCATCTGGGACCCTCTCCCGACGCGAAACGGCTCTGTCGGGGATGGGGGGGGAGTGAACCCGAGCTCCCAAAATGGCAAGTTTCCAAATGAAATCTCTTATTTGGGGGCTTGTTTTTCGCGGCTGGGCCATCTCGCGCAGCGTCGGGAGGTCCCAGATGGATTTTCACCCCGGAACCGTTCCAGGGTGAAAATCCATCTGGAACCCTCGCCCACCGCAAAACGGCTCTGTCGGGGAAGGGGGGGGGGATCCGGGCTCCCAAAATGGCAATTTACCAAATGAGATCTCTTATTGGTGGGCTTGTTTTTCGCGGCTGGGCCCT